CCCCGAACCGCGGTGCTATGGCTAAGGGCTGCGGCCAGCGGGCCGTCGCACGGAGAGGAGCCGTTGAGTTTAGGGAGGGAAAAGGGTTTTGTTTCACCGAGGCGCAGTGACTAATTCCCCGCATGTGTCTCCGAAGCTGAAACGAGGCCTTTGATGTGTCACTGAACATTATTCCCCCACCCCACCCACTGCTTTTCCACTCTTCAACAGAAAAGATGAATCACAGCAACCATTCACCCTTTCTGAAAATCCACTTAATTTTCTTTTTTTCTTTTTTTTTTTTTTGCTTTTAAATAAACAGGCGGCTTCCACACGAGCGACAGCCTCTGTAACGAACGGCGCACGAGGAGGAGGACGAGCCTCCAGTAAGGGCTTGTGGTTTTGCTTTCTCCACCTGCCCAACCTTCAACAGATCACCTGCACCTGATTTCCTGCACCTCAGTATTTACTCAGACATGGTTTGGGTTGGAAAGGACCTTCAAAGATCATGCAGTCCAACCCCCTGCAATCGGCAGGGACATCTTCAACTGGAGCAGGTCGCTCAGAGCCCCGTCCAACCTGACCTGGGATGTTTCCAGGAATGGGTCATCAACCACATCTCTGGCAATCTGGGCCAGGGGTTCACCACCCTCACTGGGAAAAATTTCTTCCTTACATCCAACGTCAACCCTACCCTCTTGCAGTCTAAAACCATTGCCCCTCATTCTGTCACTACAGGCCCTGTAGTCTGTCCCCATCTTTCTTCTAAGCCCCTCTCAGCCCTGGCAGCTGCAGCAAGGGCTCCCCGGAGCCTTCTCTGCTCCAGGCTGAACCCCCCCGGCTCTCTTGGCCTTTCTCCATAGCAGAGGCGTTCCAGCCCTCTGACCATTTTCGTGGCCCTCGGTCCAACTGGTGAACACAGAGTCCTCTTTCAAAAAGCAACATCATCATACGTGCATGGAGGGAACCTGACCCTACTCCCACCTGGCTTTCCGGGCATCCAGAAATAGCTGGCACTGTTACGATGATGTTAAAAACTGATGGCCTGAACCAGGATCAGTTTTCCTCATTGAGGTGAGCTTTAGTGAGATGTTAGTCTATCCCATGCTGATCACACAGGCTCTCAAAGCACGCACTGGCAGCAGCAATGTGTGTGAAACCATCGTGGGTGGATCTAGAGAGGATCAGGTGTTCACCAGCCAGACCTTGGAGGGAGGTTCCCTGTGTTCCCTTCCTACCTCTGCCACCAAAACCTGCAAAACCCTGTGCTTCAGCATGACCTACCATAAAAAGGCTCCCAAATTGTTTTTTTTACTCCCTAAGTGAATGACGCAGGTTTAATTCATTCAGAAATATTTGCAAAGACGTTTGAGACCACAGTTAAGAATAACTTACTGGGTTCAGTCCTATTTAACATAGAACCATAAAATCTTGGAATCATTAAGGTTGGAAAAGACCTTTAAGATCATCAAGTCCAACCGTCAATACAACACCACCATCCCCAGTAAACCATGTCCCAACACCTTCATTAATGGTCTGGAAGATGGGGCTGAGTGCATTCTCAGCAAGTTTGCTGATGACACCAAACTGGGAGGAGTGGTTGAGATGCCAGGGGCTCATGCTGCCATCCAGAGGGATCTCAACAAGTTGGAGAAATGGGCCAACAGGAACCTCATGAAGTTCAACAAGGAAAAGGGCAAAGTCCTACCCCTGGGGAAGAACAACCCCAGCACCCATCTGGAAAGCAGCTTGGCAGAGAAGGACCTCGGGGTCCTGGTGGGCACCAAGTTGACCACAAGCCAGCAACGTGCCCTTGTGGCAAAGGCGGCCAGTGGTGTCCTGGGCTGTGACAGACAAAGTGTTACCAGCAGGTTGACAATAGATAGACAAAGGTGATCCTTCCCCTCTACTCAGTGCTGGTGAGGCCACGCCTGGAGCACTGTGTCCAGTGCTGGGTCCCCCTGTACAAGAGAGACATGGACTTAACTGGGGAGAATCCAACGAAGGGCCACGAAGATGATTAAGGGACTGGAGCATCTCTGCTATGAGGAGAGGCTGAGAGAGCTGGGACTGTTCAGCCTGGAGAAGAGGAGGCTCAGGGGGGTCTCGTCAATCATAGAATCATTTCAGTTGGAAATGACCTTTAAGACCATTGAGTCCAACTGTAAACCTAGCACTGCCAAGTCCACCACTACATGTCTATAAATACCTGACGGGAGGGTGCAAAGAGGATGGAGGCTCTTTCCAGTGGTGCTCAGTGACAGAACCAGAGGCAATGGGCACAAACTGAACCCCAGGAGGGTCCCTCGGAACATTGGGAAACACTTTTTGACTGTGAGGGTGACCGAGCACTGGCACAGGTTGCCCAGGGAGGTTGTGGAGTCTCCATCCCTGGAGATATTCTAAAGCTGCCTGGACACGGTCCTGGGCAATCAGCTGTAGCTGGCCCTGCTGGAGCAGAAGGTTGGACCAGATGACCTCCAGAGGTCCTTTCCAACCTCAACCACTGTGATTCTGTGCTTCTGTAACTTGCTGTCCTGCAAACTTTTTGGAAGGCAAACCTGCCAAGTTTTAAGCTCATACTGGGGTAAGATAACATCCATCACTGAGAACTAGACCCCTACACTGTGCAGGACGTACACCAGGTCCCACTATTCCTCCAGCTCTACGCCGGTGCTTAGTAGGCAAGCACCAGTTACTGCACACTGTGACAGCCTTTTGCTGTGTACCCTCACCTCCTAGGAGCCACTAACGAAGAGCCACGAAGCTGCTAAGAGGACCTGAACCCATGATGGACTCCTCCAAAGGAGGTTGGAGCATCTCAAGACTGATAAGCAAGCCTCCTAGAAGGCCCCAAGACTAAGGAGTTATTATCTCAGTTAGAAGATAGGAAAATTAAACTGATGAGGTTTTAAGCAAAAAAAACCCAGAGAAAAACACCAGTGAATGTGGGTGCTTAAATAATCCAGACATGAAATAATTCAGGCTCCTAAAGAGACGCAGAAATGTTGACTGTGGATATCTGTCCTCGTAGCGGCATCATGCCAGTTCTTAGTTTTCTGTATTGCCTTGCTTTTAGGAAAAAAATCAAGACTTGATGGTCCCATGCTAAAAATACAGCAGTAAAAGCCAGGAGATGTAGGCTCCATTCCCCGGCTATGCCAGGGGCAGACCGGTGGCATGTCTAAGACCAAGTTGCTCAATCTCCAGTCCTTGCCTGTTGAGCTGCATGGACGGGCACTCCTGGCCACACCGCTGGCACAATGAGCAGAGTTACCGCCTGAAAGCCACCCGAGTGCCTCGGAGGGGAAGAGCTACAAATACGTCCAATTATTTTCCTAACAATAATTTTCCTAATACCTCTTATAATTAGGATGGGTTTAATTCGCCCTCAGACACTCTTTTTTGTCGGCGCCGCTGCTATCTGATCACAGGAGCATGTGCCAGTCGCCTTGCAGCTCTTGTAGAATAAAAGAGGATGGGCTGGGGAATAACTTGTGGAGGGAGACAGAAGGGGATGAAGAGCTTCTTGGACCTGTAGCAATGGAGAACGACCAGCTGGAGGGGGTTTCCTAAAGGACACAGCATCAAGGAGCACCAAGGTGGGACAGGTAAAAGCCGAGAAAAGGTGAAGTTCTAAGAAGGAGGAGAGCAGTGAGCTAAGCCCAAGGGAGCTGCCAGGTCAGGGAGGAAGATGAAGGACTGACTCTGAGCCTCGACCAGAAGGAAGGCGCTGGGGATGGAGGGTTTTGCTGCAGGCAAGTCTGGTGAGAGTCGGTGGGGTGGCAGGAGCTTATGTTGCAAAGGGGAGAGGAAGGTGAGACCTCCTTTGGGGGTAATTAAAACAGATCTGCTGAAGCAACACCCCTAGAGCTTGTAAAAACCCCTGGCTAGTGAGACCAAAAATCACGTTCGATCCCTCGTGGGATGGGCATGGCAGCCGCAACGCAGCTCTGGGAAGCGGAAGGCAATTGCCTGAGAGGCACAAGACAAGCTGGTTCAAAACAATATTCAAAATAATGAATTAATGATTTTTTAAAAAAAAAAAGTCAAATAATGTAATTATATGTTTCTTTAAATATTACATTTTAGGGCGTCCCCTTTGTCTCAGGCACTGTTTGTAACATGTACGAAGAAAACATGAGTGCGGTTCACATACCAGCTATGAAAAGGACTGGTCGCTTTTGACTGAGGTGTCAGGATGAAGCACGGCCATTACTTAGCCTAACGCCACCCCACCTAGCAAGACGCCTTGCGGAGAGTGAGCGAATGGTACGTGGGGAGGAGAAACAAGGTTTAAAAAAATAAAAAGAACACATTGAAAAAAATAAAGCCCAGCTTTTGGGCTCATCCCCTTCTGCAGGATCAGCTCCAAGCTGAGACCAAGCCAGGAGCCAGAGCATTCGGGCAGCGAGCGGTCTGAGCACCCTACTTAAAACAAAGGTGTCGGAGGGGTTCATTCGCCTGACAGCCTTAAAATCTCATTACGGAGGCTAAGCCCCAATTAAAACGCATGCGTTTGGTCATGCAGCTTAATCGCTGGTTGTGCTTACCCTGAAATCCACCCGGGACACCTGTAGGGTGCGGGGAGCGGCCAACCCGTCCCACGGAGCAGCCCCTGGGCTAAGAAAGTGCCGTGGATCCGTAAAATCACCAATTTACCTGCGGTAATTCTGCACCGCTGCTCGGTTCAGCCCTGTTGCCACAGTAACACTTCTGGTGTAGCCGAGATCACTGATTATGAAACTAGAAAAAAAATCAGAGGCTGCTAATTAGGATACACTCCAGTTCTTAAAAAGCTCCATATTAATGACATTATGATTGTGAGCGCAGGGAAAAATAAAGATGTCAGACAGCAACGCCTCAGTCAGCATCGGCGACCACTGCCAGCCGCTTTTTGGGTCTTTTTATATATGGGTCTTAAAATTCAGCTTGCAAATTCCCTGTAAATTTGGCTTGTTTTCCTTCTCTTTAAACAAATGTGCAAGACTCGGTGGAGCAGTCTTTACTCTTTACATATATTTGCATGTATTGGAATGGAAAAAAAGGGTCGAGGATGATGTACAAATGGCGATAGCCGGAGTGGGGCCAGGTGCGCATGCCTTGCATCTTGCACGGGCTGTGTTTCTGTTGCAGTTTGCCAGAGAAAGAAACCAAAATCACAATTCTACCTGTAAATGAGGTTTGCAAACGAGGGGGACCGGAGTTGCAAGCGTTTCCCTCTCTGACTCTGCTACCCAAGCGCCAGAGCATTTTGAGGCACGTCTTCTGCCGAAGGCTTCAAGCTGAAAAGTCTGACTGGGAGCAGTTTTGCTGCCAGACACAAGCATTTTTCAACACAACCTATAAATAAGATACTAGAGCATATTTCCAGGCGAAAGGAAAATGGCCTGACAGGTATTTCTGGAGCCGCAAACCCAGAGCGATGCTGCTTTAAAAAGTCAGCTCATCAAAACACCTTAATTTTTCCATTCTCATTGGATGATGAACCTACTGGGAGGATGAAATAGTGATAAACACGCAGGGCCAAGGACCAAATCTGTGTTAACAGCTAATAATATTCATTACATCAATGGCAGACTCTGCATTTCGCCATCATCCAGGGCTATGCATCACTTCAGCCCGCTACACCCATGAGCACCAGGAGCCACCACCTCCGGAGGGGATGCAGAGGCTAAAAACCGAATTTCTGGTGAAAGCCGTGCCCTGAGGTCGGGTTTGTCCTGGGGAAGGGCAGGAGTCGAGTGGTGCCAGCATCTTCCAGTCCAAGACCGTCGGGCTGTGATGCCCTGACCCAAACACGCAGCAGAGCTTCTGGGCTGCGACTTCACACCTCTCCGTGTCAGCATACGGGATTTCAGAAACTTGAGCTAAAACTCAAAAAGACTCCAGTTAAAACTCAAGCTTCTTGGTCCAAGAAAGGGAGAGAAAAGAGCTCTCCCCTGCAAGCAGCAAGGGAGCTTTAGGCAAGTAAAATGTAAATGTCCAAAGTGGGAAACTCTTTGGTGTGACCTAGAGACTTCAGCTACCACCTGGCTGACAGCAAGGATGCTGTTTTTATCTTTTACATTTTTTTATCTTTATCTACCCATCTTTTTACCCAGCCAAAGGCCGTCATGAAAACAAGCTGCGGCTTATTTTTAAAGCAATGCAAAAATGCTGAAGCTCCCATCCAGGTTGCAGGTGCAATTTGTCTCCAGATACAACACTGCGAGCTCTGACGCAGCTATTGGAGGTATTAAAAGCTGGAGCAATGGTGGATCATATGTGACCCACCGGAAAATAAAAAAAGAAACAACCACTCATTGGCCATCCCAATTTATAGAAAGTATCCCAGTCACTACTTCTTCAATTAGTAGAAATAACTAGAGAACAAAAAAAAAAATTATAAAAAGCCTCTGAATGCTGCAGGGCTTTGCCTTCCCTGTAGCACAGGCAACAGGGACTTCACATCCACAGCAAGAGCCGG